CCGCCACTCTTCCCTGAAGAATCGGCTGGACAGTCCTCAGATCCGGAAGACCGCCACAGCAGGAAGGTCAAAAAGCTTCAATAACCATCGACCCATGGACCCTGAGGTCATCGCACAGGTAACTGGGGGCTCCAGATAGCTCATATGAGTCTACGCTGGTCACTACCGCTTAGTGCAGCCCATGCTACTTATGACAGGCCTTGAGACAGAGTGGCGCTTTGGGCCTCGTATACTATGTTCAGGGACTGTTGGACAATGGACCAGAGAAGAAAGCCTAGCAAACAACCTGCCTGTCCCTCTCTCCCCGAGAAGAACCTGAAGACAGAATAAAAGAACTCTGGCTTCAGGGTCAGCAGGTAGTGTGGTGGCTAAGGTGCTGGACTCCCATGTGGTCAACCATGGTTTGAGTCCCAGACCTGAAGCCTTGAAAATCACACCAGGTGTGTGTGGGTGTGTGTGTGTGTATGTGTGTGTGTGTGTGTTGTGTGCTCAAAATCCCAGGAAGAGAATGGAGGAGAAGGGATTGTGATGTGGCCATCCCTCTGGAGGGTGATTTCTTACTTTCCCTCTCTGCATCTGTCTCTCTCTCTCTCTCTCTGGTGAGCGCACACACCCTAGGGTAAAAAAAATCTGACGTGTTCATATGCCACCTATGGGCAAAGTTGTTGTCATTTATTTATTTATTTATTTATTTATTTATTTATTTATTTATTTAATGTTTTTGCCATAGGGCGTGTGCACTTGCCAGGGAGGAGAGAGACAGACAAATAAGGAGAAGGAAAGCGAGAAATCACCCCCCAGGAGATATGACCATGCAGCAATCCTTTCTCCATATTCCTCTCAGGAACGTAGGCATGCATGCCCACATGCTCTGTGTGATTTTCAAGCCACTGGGTCTAAGACTCAAATCACAATTGGCCATGTGGGAATTCAGTGGCTTAGCCACCATGCCACCTGCTGACCTGTGGCTTTTAAAGCCAGCAGTTAGAGTATTTTGATGATGTCCACTTAGAGTTCTGGGTGTTAAGACCTTGGTAGACTTTAGTAAAGCTGCCCAAGTGCTGAGACCCCAGATCCTGTTCTGGCCACATTTTTACATCACTCTGCCCATCCCCCTCATCCCAGTTTTAAGGCTGTTTGATACATCGTGGATAGATACTTATTCAGCAGTTTGCTCTTGGTCTTGAAGGCCCCAAGATACTCAGGTTGCTGAGAGCTCTGGGTACCAGCAGGATTTCCAGCCCATCTCCAGACACAGTGAGATAAGCCCCGTGATTGTAGGGTCTTCTTCCATGTATGCGCCACACTGACGACTCTCTGTTTTTCGTGAAATATTAGAGATCCAGCCCCACCTCTAAAAATCCGACTACCGGGGCCACTCCAAGCAGTTCATTCAGACGTCTCTCCCAACTATATAATTTTCATTAGACCAGGTAGGAACTAAGGGCTTGTCCTTGCCCTCTTGTATCTCAACCAAGTTGAGATTCTCCCCACTCTGTCTTCCCGGGGGCGAAACAGGCTGGGCATGGTCTCTGTTGGCTTAATTGTGGTGCTCTGCTTAAGGAGGCAAGCCCAGCATTGAGCTATGGGCCTGAGATGTCTTGCTTGGCTGGCCTTCTATTCTATGCCTGTTTAAGCTCTTGCCTACAGTCTGCCTTGCACCACGGGACTCCTCCCAGCTCCCTCCTTGGCCAGGTGTTAATAGGTACATCAGAAAAGGTACACAGCTGAGACAGACCCTAGCTACAGACTGGGACTGAAGAGGGAGGTCAGAGTTCTTCCTGAGCATTTTGAAGGTCTGAGAACATCAGCAGGATGAGTGACATTGAATCCTAACCAACTGAAAGCCTGGGTTGCTCTCTAGGACAAAGAAACTGTAGCCAGGGATCTTTGCTTAGAACACACAGTCTTTCAAAGTGAGCCCAGTCCCGGGAACCAGCAGTTAGCGTAATGGCTATGTCGCTGGACTCCCACGTAGTCGACCGCGGTTCACGTCCCAGACCCGGTGGCTTAAAACTCACGCCAGGCGCGTGTGCGTGCGTGTGCGTGCCCAAGATCCCGAGAGGAGAATGGAGGAGAAGGGATTGTGGCGTGACCATCCCCCCTGGGGGGTGATTTCTCGCTTTCTGTCTCTATGTCTCTCTCTGTCTGTCTGGCGAGCGCACGCGCCCTACAGTGAAAATCTCTCAAACAAAAAAAAAAAAAAAAATATAGGGCATGTGTGCTCACCAGAGGGAGATGGAGAGAGACTGAAAGTGAGAAAGCAAGCAGCCAGACCTGGGACTACGGTTGGCCATATGGGAGTCCAGTGCCTCAACTACCACAGCACCTGCTGGTCCCCTTTTCTTTATTTTCAAAAGATTTTAAAAAAAAATGTTGATTTCTCTCTTCCAATGAATGAGAGAGCAAGCGAGCGAGAAACACAATCACCTTTAACAGGATCTTGATGCCGGGATCTACCCCCCCCAGCCTCAGCCAGCCCCGATCATGGGCACACCCAAGGAGGCCTCTAGACAGGAACCCAGAACTTTCCCATGTGTGTCAGCCTTGTGGAGTGTTGCTTCTCCCACTGGATCAAAACCCAGTGTCTTATGAAATGCATGTTTCAGTTTGCTTCTAACATAGCTGGACATAACTCATGATATTTCTGCTTTGAAATTCCTATTTACATATTTCAGTGTGAGCTCAGTTGAGGGAACTGAGAAAACACATAAGCTTTAAAAGTTTCTCACTTTGGGGTGATTGCAAATTCTATAGCTAGCAAGCTAGCGTCCCGGACCCAGTGGCTTAAAACTCACGCCGGGCACGTGTGCGTGCGTGCCCAAGATCCCGAGAGGAGAATGGAGGAGAAGGGATTGTGGCGTGACCATCCCCCCTGGGGGGTGATTTCTCGCTTTCTGTCTCTATGTCTCTCTCTGTCTGTCTGGCGAGCGCACGCGCCCTACAGTGAAAATCTCTCAAAAAAAAAAAAAAAAAAAAGTGACCCCAGTCCCGAGGAAGAACCCCGTGGTGCTTTGGGGTGCCAGACACAGGTTTGTGGGGAGGGAAGGGTGGAGCTAGGAGGTCTCCCGAGGAGGCAGCTGGCTTGTGGATGGAGGTTCTTTGGCTCTGCCTTGAGCCCTTGGGTTAGGACTGCTGTCTCCTAAGATCTGGAGTTTTTCTGCTAATTTAGAAGAGACTCACCTATATGGGCTTTGGCTCCCCCTCCTGGTTACTCTTTGGCTCCCTCCTGTGGTGATGGGTAGAAAGAAATGGTTGCATCAAGTCGGACACTCCCATGAGTTGGGGAGGAGGGACTGAGGGAGGTGTCCTGATGAATCTTCAAGGACTGGGCTCTTAAACCTTTCCTCAGCCCCTGATGAGAAAGGACTAACCCTCTTACCTTGAAGGACTAACTTTGTACCTTGAAGTCCAAGAGAACAAAGATCATACTTTATCTCTACTACCTTAAAAAAAAAATAGTTTCTTATGGGGCCAGCCCATGACTTGTGGGTTAAGGCAGCTGGATTCCACATGGCCAACTGTGTGGTTCAAATCCCAGCCGCTGCAGCTTGGGAAACACTGGGTGCATGTGCATGCCCAAAATCTCAAAAGAAGAATGGAGGAAAAGGAATTGCAGCATGACCATTCCTGTAAATGAGTGAGTTCTTGCTTTTCCTTTTTCTCACTGTCTCTGGTAAGCGCGCATACCCTCCGGCAAAAATTTTTAAGTGTTTATTATGCATAATTTTAAACAGAGGGAATTGGATAATGAATCCCCATGTACTCACAACTGCATTCCTGGCCACTCTGAGTTCATCTGCCTTTCCCCTCCCCAAGGATATATGTCATTTCAACCATAAATATTCCAGTACCCATCTCTAAAACCCAAGGACTCTTTAAATAAAGACATCTTGGCTCTTTCTAAAGGAAAAAAACTCATGATTATGAAAACCTCTGTCCCCATTCCCCTACATTCTGAACATTCATATGTTCAAGGACTTGAGCCAAGTCAAATAATCTGGACATCTCCTTAGTTGGTTTCGTTATGGCTTGGCCCCTGTTGCTGAAACAGGATCCTTGGGGACATCTCCCTTCATTTGCCTCACCTCCTCCTTTTTCCTGTTTTGCAGGATATTGAGGCAACAATGAACTCTGCCCTGAACGAGCTGCGCGAGTTGGAGCGGCAGAGTAGTGTCAAACACACTCCCGACGTGGTTCTGGACACCTTGGAGCCCCTCAAAACCTCCCCTGTGGTGGCCCCCACATCGGAGCCCTCCAGCCCCCTGCACACCCAGCTTCTCAAGGACCCCGAGCCTGCTTTCCAGCGCAGCGCCAGTACCGCTGGGGACATCGCCTGCGCCTTCCGGCCTGTCAAGTCTGTCAAGATGGCTGCTCCAGTCAAACCACCAGCCACACGGCCCAAGCCCACTGTCTTCCCCAAAACAAATGCCACTAGCCCTGGTGTCAACTCATCAGCTTCCCCACAGTCTACTGACAAGTCTTGTACTGTCTGAGGGGTATAATTTAATCATTCTAGACAAGGGGACTGTAGGGACTGACTGTTATAAAAATCTTCCTATTTAACTAGCTTGGGGACTTCAGTTGAAAGTTAGATTCTAAGTTGTTCTTGCAGGAATTAGCCTCCCCATCTCCCCAAACCCTGAGAATGAAGCCCTTGTTATCTTCCTTTCCCTTCCCTTCCCACTGCCCTCTGCTTCCCCAGTCGTCGTAATCCAGCCAGCTGCAGTGCATACTGTTCTTAGGTTAGCCAGAGACAGAGTTTTTCATTATCAAGTCACTGTGAAATCTGGCAAGGTAAATTATGAGGATGTGGGCTCAAGCCTCAGTCCCCTCAGACCACAGGGGAGGCCTTGACCAGATGGTTGGCTACTGCCATCCAGCTCTCAGTGGCATCTTGTTTTGGGTACTAATTATAGGGAATCATATATAATCCATTCTTCATGTTACACACACACATGCACACACACACACATACACACGTACACACGTAGGTTTTTCTAGTCTCTGGCATGTGTAGCCCTCCTGGTCATAGACCAGTCTCTGTAAGTTATTGTGGCAGTTCACACAGGAGCCACCAGGGGTCTCTGTTTCCGTTACAAACTTTGTTCTGTCTGGGCCAGAGAACCTAGCCTTTGAAATCTCTCCATCTTCTGAAATTTAGCAGGGTGGGACAATCCTGTGGTCTGTTTGGGGTTGGGGGCTTTCTCTCTGTCTTCTTTCTATTGTGAATTGGTCATTCGTGTTTGCTTTCGCTCTCCTCCATTGTCTAGAAGTACAAGCCAATCTTATTAAGGAGCTTTTAAAGTTTTTCTGAATGTATAGACATTTCTTGGATCCCTATCTTTGTCTCTGATGGACCATTTTCAATTTAAGACATTTTCCTGTGTAAGACAGTTTTATAACTGGTTCATTTTAGGGTAAAGAGTCTTAAAAGAATTTTATCGTGTTGATGGCAGGTCTAAAAAAAAAAAAACGTAAGAAATGGGTCCTTTTCCTCCTTATTTTTTTTTTTGACGCTTAAGCATAACATTTATATTTGAAAATGAAATTCATCTTTGCTAACCCAAACAAAACTTTAAGTTTACCTGTCAGTTGGGTTATTTTACAAGGTCTCTCTTCAGGGACCAACAGGGGCTTGAAGAGCCCTAGTTAGATTAAAGAGAGACACTGACCCTTAAAGGCTGTTTCCATTATCCAAATAAGGACAACTAAGGGCACTTTGACCCCACAGCTGAAAAGTCTTCCCAAGGCTGGAACCTAGAGAAAAGAAAAAATCAGATGTTGAATATTTTGGCTTCCTTTCATCTTTTTTCTTGTTCTCCAAAATGCAAAAACGGTACCCTGTTGGCTTTAACTCAGTCTCCAAACCCAGTGCCCCTGGTGCTGGTTCACCTGGCATCATGCCATCCCAGGAGTACCCAGACTAGAGACATTCATATCTCAGGCTCATGGGTCCCAGATAGCTACTTGAGTTCAAGCTGAAGCTCTTTCCTCTTCTCTGTGTTTTCTGAAAGTTGTGCTTTGATTTTAGCCTTACTATCTTCTGCAGTTCTGGAGAAATGGTGGGTTGCCATTCAGGTAGGAAAAATCAGAGTTGTCTCATCTTTGACCTAGAAGAGATCCTTTTGGACGAACATGAAGTTGGTAGTTGGAGCCGTGGGAAGTAAGAGTTTTCTCATTCT